TGTTTGCTGATAAAAAGACCAAACACATAGTTGTTTGTGGTCTTCCAGCTAAAGATAAAATAATGCACAAAAATACCAACACCAATTGTGAAAAGTATCTACCCTACAGTACGGATTTAACTGATGTTTTCAAATGTAGTTGGAATGACATCATATCTTATCTCACTTGGACGTATCATCCATCATATAGTATCTGGGTCGATAATATTCGAGCCAATATTTATCTGGCACTGAATAACTTTTATACAATAATAGAATCTGATAAAACATTTGATGGCTCAGTATTCAAAGAGGTTTCAAAATCACTTCATTCATCTGGTCGAAAGATACACTCTATACAGTCGGTTATATTAACGAATTATTTGGCGGATAACTATATTGAATAACTTAATTTTAAAATAGAATTTTATCAAGAGACACGAAGTCTACGTAGTCACAATAGAGGGTTGAAAAGCCGTAAATATTAGCCTTTTGTGAATACCACGTACCCGGTTACAGTTATAACTCTGCTGTTTCTGTTTTCTCTTTCTGCTCCACTGCTTCACTTTTTGAATGAGAGACTTCCTTATGAAATTACGAGGGGTGTCAGAATATCAATACACAGCGCGTATTCTCAAAAAACGGCCATTTCCTTAGAACGTGCTGGACTTGGTGCGTTCTGGACGAGAATGCACTACTATTCCTATGCATCTATACTCAAATCGTCTCAGATTCTCAAAGTATACAACATCTTATCTCTTTGCGATCGAATATTAAGCATCAACTTGTTAAAAAAAGGCATTCGTCTCCAGATCAGATTAGCATGAAGCTCTTTGAACAAAACCAATAGACGAATAAAACGAATAAGATAACCTAGCTGGACTTCAATCTCCAAATAAAATTCAGAATAATAAGCATAACTCACTGAATCACTATAATACAAAGTCAACATCATTCCCCTAACAACTTGAAGTACTATAGCTATTCCTAACATAAAACCCAAGTTTCAAAGAACAAAATACACTTAAAAAAGAGAGAATGGAAAGGAAAGGAAGAAGGAGAGCAGTAAATAATATGTGCTGTTATAGACGCTTGGTCCAAACCTTTTGTTCGACATCATACTCTTAGTAAATCTATTCATCATACACTTATGGTTAACTTTGAGTTAAACTATAGTTTGGTTATATAATCTCCACGATTCGTTCGAGACTTCTAATTGTGATATTATCTAAGATTGTGTCGAGATTCATAGAAATAAATAACAACTTTTTATCGAGCTAAATATTTCAATACTATTTGTCAGTTATGGCTAGATTACCCGCTGTACCTGTAAAATAATGTACCTTTAGTGCAAAATGAAAATTTTTCCATCAGCCCAGAAAAATGTCATCATCATTCCTATTTATAAGAAAGATGATCGTTCAACGATCGAAAACTATCGACCAATATCGTTGACGAGTAATTGCAGTAGTATTGTCATTCGTATTGGCACATAGATATCTCAGTACGGGGTCTTTGTGGAGTACATTCCGAGAATCCCAAGCATTCATAGATGTATGCGTGTGGATTTGTGTAAGATAGATATACGTAATATACGGGTACAGTCTGTATCCGTATTATGGACAGCACTCTACGATTTTCAGGCTTCCAAATATCAGCCGTGCTCCCTGTGAAGGAAAGGTGTTGGAGAGCGAATTCGAAATACACCTGGGTGTATGAATGTCTAGTATCTATGGTAAAAATGTAACGTTGAACGGATAAAGTTTCGATGAGATCGGAACGGTACGCAATGTAGTAGATTTGTGAAAAATCACATTTCGAGAAAAACGCAAAACAAGTCTGTTGAAAGAAAATCTCTTCACATATATGTATTTATGGACTATCTTGATAGATGGCATAAGTAATCGATACGTGCGTGGTCATATGCAAAAGCTAAATGGTCATTTTCTCAGATGTTAGAAAGGTATTTTTTATACGAAATCAACCCCATACCCAAGCACGGAAAGGCATCGCCCATTGCCCAATGTAATTCAATCGTCAATTCGTATCTATATTTGTTGCATCAAGTTTTATTGGATTATATAGCGAGTAATCCAGCTAGTAATTTGATGTTTCAGGAGCATCTAGATAAAAGAGTAAAAAATATCGACCGATAGGTCAGCCGAAGCACTCAGATATTTTAACTACAAAGGTTGAACTGACAAAATAACAAGGTTGCACAGCTACGGATAACAGCAAGAGACGTTTCACATAGATTGGAGTCTCCTCATAATACGACGATGTTTCGTCATCAAACACCAACTCAATATAAATTATATACATACATCTATATGTGTATTCAAGATAGAAACTACATTCCTATTAAAATATGTCTACGTACTACAATGCTCTGGATTCTGAAAAAGCCCAGAATAGTATTTGATAACTTACTCTCACGCCCCGCGTCCTCTATCACCTCATCCGAATCACGAACGTTCATACACAGACATATATATGAATACAGATGCAGATTCTACGTCGAGCAAAATGCGAAGCATGCAGAAGAGCCTTCCACGAAACTAGAAATATAAATATCTAACTAGGGAAAACATTTTCAAACTACAATATTTACAATATTTACAACTACAATATTTGAACATCAAAATATTTTGATTTTACATTTTGCATTGTAAAAGGCAAAAAATGCAATTTCGACTACTAAAATGGGAAATAAAATTTTGTCCGATGTATGATCAATTTTTTTCGCATTTTGAAATGTAAAATCACTTTTTTTCCATTTTAAGATGCAAAACGCCAGAAGAAACCAAAGTTACAGATTGCAATTTCCAGAAAGGAAAATGCTAGAAGTACATCTTAGTCATTATGTCACTTTTTACAGTTTTAACCCTTTGAGTCCCGGCGGTACCTATAGGTACCAGGGGCTTTTTTTTCGAAACTAAATAAGATCTCAAGGAACGACCTATGTCAATTCGAAATTTCTATATTTTTTCAAACTTTTCCAAAATTAAACCTTGTATCTTCAGTATCCATATATATCAACTTTTTTTACATTTCTTATAATTTTTGAATATGAATGAACAAAATTATGTACAATTCAAAAAAATAAAAAACCGGGACTCAAAGGGTTAAATAGAGCAGAGTTTCCCAAATCAAAGGCTAAAAGTACTTAAAATCGAACTTAAATTGAGTCAGTTGTGCTCGAGAATGTGAGTGACAGTTCGACTGCGCACATCAGGTCCTGATGTGAATGGCCAAACCTAAAATGATCTAAACTTCACTCTATCTGTCTGTGGCAAACCAGATCTAACACTTATTCCCTTAATGAGGTATTAATTAAAGAAAATCAATTGTATCGTTTACGCTAGGGATCATCTGCTTTACGTGAACGGAAAGAGAAAAGTGTTCCTAAAGTCGCTAATATACGACTAAATGGGATCCGACTTACGTGTCTTCAATGCAACTAGAGCAAAGATGCTATAAAGTGACTAGCAGGTAAAGTCACATCATGTGTCTTCAAAGGAGACACTAAAATGCGGTTTTTGAGGATCCGGCTTACGTGTCTTCTTAGAAGTCGCATTTTTTTTTTGAGTGTGCAGAAGAAATTTTGTACTTATGCTTACAGGCCAACCTTCGCGACATTTCACACGTGGGCACGCGTGAAACGTAAGAATTTTTTGAAAATCTTAGGAACTTTTTGTTCTGTTCTTACATTGAATATCTATATACGTTGCTTTAAGGCATCAGGCATTGTTTTCTCTCTTTACAGAAAGAACACACTTCAAAGACAGCCTCATTCTTCTTATCGTTATCATTCTGCTAGAACTAAAAACGTTTACTTAATAAAAATAAAGGATAAACAAAAATCAAGCGCTAGTCGTCTGCCGAATAACATGAAAGACACTCAGAATATGTCTCCGTTATTTATGCTGGACGAACAGCAGCCATTAACATACCAAAATGAATGATTACAAAAATTTATAAATGATAACAAAACTACGAGATCAATAAATTTATATTACACACCAATGATTGATGAGGATATCAGGGTTATAGCTAATGAGTTGGTAACTAATAAAAGATGAAACCCGCATAAGAACGGTAATCGGCTCACTAACAATAACCCCTCTAATCGGTCCCAACCTCATCAGAAACACATCCGATTATCATATGCGATGATTTCGACCCCTCCGAACGCTTTCAGTCGAATATACCCGACAGAATCTACTTGAAACCAAGCAACAGTTTAGCACCAACAGTATGACTATAAAATCAACATTTCTCAGTAACTGTACTATATTAAGCCTAGCGTAATGCAGCATTCGATGCGCCATGAAAAGCTCTACAATATGTGTTAATAGCACACTTAACGAAGCCTGCCAGCAGGTTTTATGAATTTAATACTAGATTTTTCGATAGGTCAATGCTAAGCGAACTCCTTTTCACTTTCTTTTCTAAAACTAAAGTTGATCTCTAATCATTCATACATCATTTGATGCGCCATGAAAAGCTCTACAATTTCTGTTAATAAGAAACTTAATGAAGCTTGACAGCAGGTTTTATGAATCAAATACTAGACTTTTTCATAGGTAGCCGCTATGCTACTCGAACTGTCGGTCACTTTTCTCTATGAAGCTAAAGATGATCTGTAATAATTCATACATCATTCGATGCGCCTTGAAAAGCTCTGCAAGATATGTTAAAAGGAAACTTAACGAAGCCTGGCAGCCGTGTTTGGGTATTAAATACTGCGCCGCTTTAACCTAGCCGAAAAATGAACAATTTAACATTGTCGAAACAGACATGAAAAAAGAAATAGATAAGCGGATAACAAAATACACTACATTCATATATAAAGTCAAATGTAACAATTAACAAAATCTTTGTGTATGAAAATAACTAGTGAAATTAATAACAAGAAAGATTTGAGATGTATGAGAAAAAACCGATGCATAATCAACCAAAATTATATAGTCAAATGTGATTTTCATATCTTTTTTACATATTTTCTGTAGAAAGTCGATTCAATTTCTGCTCAAGTTATCTAATAAATTCTTAGCAAATAAAGTAGGATTTATTTCTGACAATTCAATATTACTTGTTTGTAAAGCTTTTGCAGTATTTTTAGTTAAAATTTTTTTGTCTCTATCATTTGGTATTCCATTTTGAAATAATAATAATCCATTTAATATTTGATTCTTTTTATCATGTTCAACTTTGTTTAAAACATCTGTCCACCAAACATTGAAATCAATATATTCTGATTTCTTCTGTCTCATTGTACATATTTCGTTCCATATTGTCTTAAACTGAATCATGCTGTTCATATTACACAAATGATATATTTCTCCAATACTTTCTCGTTGTTGTCCTAACCATACGATCACTTTACTTACATAGTCGACAGGTACTAAATTCATTAATGAGTCAACATCTGGAGCTATTCCATATTCTATTAATCCAGTAAATAATCGATATATCCAATCTTGCTCATTACATTTTCCACTTGTGGAACACCACGAAATCATACCTTGACAAACGAAGAAACAAAAATTTGTGTATATCATTATCTAATCTATTCATGCAACATATAATTACCTGGTCTGTATATGGTCACCGGTAATCCGCGTTGTTTAGCTTGTGTTATCAGTTTTTCAGCAATCCATTTACTTTGTGAATAACCATTTGTTCGATACAAATACAATTCATCTAATTGATCATTTTCGTTAACAATTTTATTCGTTGGTAATATACTTAAAGTGGAAATATAATTGATTCTAATTCTGCGGCTACACGCTAATCTTATAATTTCTATGGTACCCTTAACATTTACTGTTCGATGTGCATAGTAATCTTTAATATGATTAACCATGGCACCGCAATGATAAATGAGACTTATTGTAGACGATAATTGTGACCAATCGTCATTTGTTAAACCAAATTTTGGTTTTGATAAATCACCAATAATCGGTCTAATTCTTTCTATATCTATTATTGAACTACAAAAATCGTAATATTTTAATACTTGACTAATTATATCCGGTTTCGTTGATCGTATCAAACACCATATTCTACAATTTGTTGTTTGTTTTAATAATTCATACAGAATATAAGCACCAAGAAAACCCGTACAACCAGTTAACAGAATATCTCCATCATTTTCACTCAAACTATTATTTACAGTAAGAGATGGATCTAACATTCCATCGTCTGTTAACAATAATTGTACGTTATTATTGGTAGATGAAGTAAGTAATTTTTCAACATTAATTTCTATTCCATAATTCGATTTTGCTAGTGCAGCTAATCTAACAGCACTCAATGAATCACCACCATTAGCAATGAAATTATCATGAATCACTTTTTTATTATCACCACTATCTCGTACTTGACTAATTAATACAATATCATCCATAATATTTCGATAATATTTTTCAACAACTGATCGTGCTAATTTATTTGACGATGTTAATCTACCATTTTTAATTGTAAACGGTTCATATTCTAAATAAATTGCCCATGGTATCTCAAATGATCGAAGTTTTTTTCGTTCACCAATTTTTTTCAATTCAACAAGTATCATTTTATTTACAATTGGATTTTTACATAAATCTTTGATATCTGTCCATGATTCTAGTTTTGTATTTTTTGCCCAATCGATTAGTAATTTTTCATTTGGTATAATTACTGCCATCACCGCATTTTGTTGTTGACTATATTTAATAATATCTGCACATGTAATAAAGATTTGTTCAATGTACACACATGATAAATACACATTTTCTAATCGTTCAGCGGCAACATACTCGCCTTGTGAGATTTTAAAAAAATTCTTTTTACGATCGATTATTTTTATTTGTCTAGAATCGATCAATTCAACAATATCACCTGTACAAAACCAACCATCTTTCAAAGATTTTTCAGTATCAATCGAGTTGTTATAGTAACCTGGAATAAGGGTTCGAGTTTTAACCCACAATTCACCACGTGGATATGGTTTATCAGTCTGATAATAATCTAAATGAAGAAAAAAAGAGTAAAATTTGTTATAAGTCGATTTATTAAACTGTTCATTGTTTTTATCTAATATTTTCTAAATAGAATGTTGATAATTCTTTATTTGTTTTACCTAATTCGGGTATATCTTCTAGTTTGATTTGTACACCAACGCATAATATTCCATTGTCCCCTGTTATATCACCCGCTTCTGTGCATCCATATCCTTCGTACACTCGACCATAACCAAAACAATCAATTAAAAATTCTTTAACCGTCTCACTTGTTGAAGCTCCACCAGTTGATACACTCGTTAATCTTTCACCGAATATCGATCTAAATTGTGTTAGTACTTTTTGATATACCATATCTTTACTTTTAGGATCACAACTATTAGCATTTTTTTCCAATTGTGTTAAATATTCACATTGGAATTCAGCATATAGTACGTTCCAAAATCTTGGTGTACAACCTAAACTTGTTGGTTGTAATAATCGAATATCTTCGAATATTTTACTTGGCTCTGTGCATATACCCACTCGACCACCACTACAAAATGTGTAATAGAGAGCTTGTCTCTCTGACGTACTACACAATGGTTTAAAGATAGCTTTGACGAATGGATCGTGCATTGACAAACCATCTTCAATAAATGTTTTCCACAACTTTTCTGTGATCATTGCACCTTTAGGTATACCGGTACTGCCGCTTGTGTGAATAATAGTCAGAAGATCATTATCTTCAGCATTTATTACAATATCAATCCATTCTGAGTGATCGGTTAGTATCAGGTCATCAATATTTTTAAATAAAACAATCTCTTTCAATGATGGACATTGTGTCATAAGTAGAGTAAACTTGCTCTGCAATTCTTCTGTTGTACAAATAATACATTTGATCTGACAATTTGTTATCACTTTCACAAGATCTTCATTGATCATTCTTGTATGCAATGGTACTGTAATTAGCGATTGAAATACACACGCTATATCAGCTACAACCCATTCTAATGATGTATCACCACAAATACCAACAAAATCTCTTGCTCTCAAACCATTGTTATTAATTAATTGAGTACCATATGTTCGTACACGTTGATAAACATCATTGTATGTGTACCATGACGTAAATGGCGTTAGAGCAAAACACGGTCGATTCCAGTAGCAATGAAATGATCGATATAATATGTCACTAACACATGTACCCGCTTGCACTTTCTTTTGATATTCGCTGGTGACACAATGTTGAACAAACAAGGTATGATCATGATCAGTTTCCTTTGAGCATTCCAGACATATATCGAAATCTTCACAATCGATACAATGATATCGTTTAATGCCAAAACTAATTTTTTTCTCACAAATATCACATAAACATCCGGCTTCTGTACTTTGTATGGATTCTCCATCAAGACAAAAAAGTGTTTGTGTGTCTTCAAGTTTAGTTGAAAGAGTAGTTTCACGTTCAAGAAGCGTTTGATCCGATTTATTGTTTTTAAGTTGATCTTGTACTGTCAATAATTGAGACTCAGGCACTGGTATGCTTTTAGCTACATCAAAATTGATAAACATTTTAAACTAAAAAAAAATATGATCAGTTCGATGAGATTTCTTTAGATGATCGGGAAAATGCAGATTTGCAAATTGAGTTTATAGTTAAGAACGTTGATTTTGCTAAATCTTTGTAAATTACATCTGTACCTGCTCTCCATTTTAAAATAGAATCAAGTTTTTTATTTTGCGAACATTTGCTCTTGAAAATATTTGTAGTAAAATTCAAACTTAGTCAAATTAGATGAATTGACCCATATGTAACTATTTCCACCAATCAAAACATTTTTACCCTGGTTAAAATCTTCCCAAACCATCTTGGAACATTCATAGGTGTACCCTGCTTTACCTGTACTATATCGTGGAGTTCAATAAGGATTTAAATGTCTACCGAAAATATTTCAATTCATGATAAAGTTTTCTCGAAATCTGTTTAGTTAAGTGAATATTTTTTTATTAATCTTGAGTACAGAGTCAGATTGAAAGGTAGAATCCTTAAGCGACCGAACTTATGGCAATTCTGTAGAGATCTTATAGAAATCGTATAAGAATCTTATATAAGGCAGTCGATGAACATGCGTAGAATATTGATAAGATTCCTGTACACGGGAATATAAGAATCTATAAGAATTCGGCAAGACAGATTATATAATCAGGAGAATTCATCAGATTTTGACATATAAACTTTTATTTACATCAATTAAAGTGTCTGACTGTATGCAGACTGAATTAGCATCCTTGCATCGTATGTGATCCTACGAAACACAGGAAATCGTTTTAGGATCCTATAAAATTTTCTATTGCAGGATAGTGTGGTACTTCTTATAGGATTCTATCATCTGAATTCTACATCCGATTACAGTGTGAATCCTATAAAATGCTGTGAATTCCTATATAGGATTACCTAATATGATGATGAATCATTACGGGAAGCTGTTTTGTGATTGCTTCTAGTGCTTTATTAAGGCAGGTATGAAAAGTTTGATGCATATTAGTAGTACTCGGGCTGCACTGTCCTCTGCGACTTAGAGAGTCCGCATTGAATGCCATCTTTACAGATAAAAAAGGATCTCAAATGGTGCATTTTTCTAAAGATCGATTGGAAAACGCGGAATTTATGAAAGCGAGAGAGATGTCGCACCCTATATTCCCTTCTTACCTAATTTTGTTTTTCGAATTTCATTCCCTTGCTATAGTCATGATTGATTTGGAGAAGTAAGTCTGGTCTACAGGCAGTAGTCAATGAGGACTCGTCTTTAGACTGCGCACTTGGAAGTAAGGTCTTATTACAGAAAAACAAAATAAATATTAGGTTGTTAACTAAGTTCTGAGCGCTAATATTTTTCGAATAACTTTTCACAGAAATGAGATAGAGACCTGCGGTTTTCACTATTGAATATCCAAGGCCTTAAGACATGTTTTTATAAACAGAAACTTGTTTAAAAACTTCCAGTAAGTTCGATTTTCCAGAGAGTCTTTGGAAAACCAGCTCCGTTCTTAGAAAACAAACTCTCAGGACAGGATTTTAACTTTTGCTAGTAACAGGCGAAAAACCGGTTTTTAACAAAAATGCCTCCGACGAAGTTATTTTCATTCCTGCATAAAAACAAATGTTGCCACTATGCTCAGCGTAGTCGATTATCTATATTCCATGGCATTTCGAGATTCCCAGAGATGTCCACTTGGAGATAGACACGTGCTCGTGGAAAGCGAGCTCTGTCAGAACGACGATAGCTGGAGAGCTGGGGATCTACACATACAAAAAAATTACTAACATTGGATGTTAGTTTTCTAAGAACGGAGCTGGTTTTCCAAAGACTCTCTGAAAAATCGAACTTACTGGAAGTTTTTAAACAAGTTTCTGTTTATAAAAACATGTCTTAAGGCCTTGGATATTCAATAGTGAAAACCGCAGATCTCTATCTCATTTCTGTGAAAAGTTATTCGAAAAATATTAGCGCTCAGAACTTAGTTAACAATCTAATAGGAAGAAAATTATTATATGCACGTATGAAACAGTAGGTTATAGTAAGAATATGGGGTACTGATTACTAAAAAATGTGATGAAATTGTATTATATCCTATAGTATCAATTTTCAGATTGGATATAACTGACCGACCATAAATCTTCATCTAGCATTGCTTAAAAGAATCGGAACCTTATATACACGTTCGAGCAGTTGACGTACAAATATCTTATATAATCCTTATACGAATCATTACGATTCT